ACATTAAGGCACTAAAGAAAGAAATTGAACATGCCAAGATGTGGTGTGAAGTCCCAATTTTGAGATCTCTTAATGTGAAAAGGAAGACGGTAACATGGAAGGAATTACAATCTGAATTTAAAGAAATTAAGTCTTTCTTGGTAAAGGAACAAGCTGCAATTCATGCAAGATTACTTACTGAAGAGAAGGATGCTAAAGAAAAACTCACTGAAAACCAAGACAAATTTCAGACCACTTATCCACACTACAGAATCTCTTAAATGAAGTAACAGAGAAGTGTTTTCAAGCAGACCTGGATGTGCTGACAGGTATTGAGAACATCTACAACACATATGAAAACCTGAAAACCCCTGCAGTCTTCTCATATGAATCAAAGAAGGAGAGTTTGAGTCTCCCTCCACAGTATTTTGGCCTGCAAAGAATTATGAGCACATTTCAAGAAGATTTGATGCTAGATCCAGAGACAGCCCACCCTAGTCTTACTATCTCAAGAGATAGAAAAAGTGTGATATTTAGGATGAGGAAGCCACACTTTACTGATAATCCTCAATCATTTACTTTTTACCCAGCTGTCTAGAGCTGTGACGGCTTTGATGCTGGGAGACACTTTTGGCAAGTAGAAGTGAGAGGCAAAGTACATGCTTCGTTGGTGGGCGTAAAGAAACATTTCCCAGAGATGGTCTTACATCACCAACTCCACAGATGGGGTGCTGGCAAATTCAGCCATTCTGTAGTCCATGCAGTACAAGGAATATAGAAGTCTTGCAAATTGGTGTTTTTCTGGACTATGAGTTGGGAGAGGTTTCATTTTATAATTTAGAAACCAGATCATATAGGCCGGGCGCAGTGGCTTACGCCTGTAATCCCAGCACTTTGGGAGGCCGAGGTGTGTGGATCACGAGGTCAGGAGATTGAGACCATCCTGGCAAACACGGTGAAACCCCGTCTCTACAAAAAATACAAAAAAGTTATCCGGGCGTGGTGGCAGGCACCTGTAGTCCCAGCTTCTCGGGAGGCTGAGGCAGGAGAATGGTGTGAACCCGTGAGGTGGCGGAGCTTGCAGTGAGCGGAGATCGCGCCACTGCACTCCAGCCTGGGCGAAAGAGTGAGACTCCGTCTCAAAAAAAACAAAAACAAAAAAACCCAGATCATATGTGTACACCTTCACTGATAAGTTTATAGAAAAGCTTATGCCCTATTTCTCTATTGCACCTTCTTCACAAGCTGTTACAATCATATTGTCATAGGCCAGTGAGGAACTACTTAGAGCACCCTTTGCATGTGGCTATCTTTTCTTCCTGTGTTCTTGGAGGGCATTTGTAATAAAGCTTCTGATTCCATGTTTATGTTTGACTGCTGATATTTTTGGAGGGACTCACTCTTCTCTCTTCCCGTCTGCCCACCCTGGACAAGCTGATGAGAAAGCCCTGGGTGCTCCCTCTGTTGGTGCAGATGGGAGGTTCAGACCTAGCAAGTCCCTGGTAGTGCAGGACCCTTTCAGCAGCCCCACCCATGACCACCATCACAGCCCCAAACCAGTCTCCCTTCCCTGCTCTCTCAAGTCACTTTTGGACCAACTGCGTAGACACCCTGCTCTCCCCCATAAACCTCATTACAGGAGTAAGAATCCATTTCACACGGGCTTGGAGTGTGTGGCATTGGCATTAGCAGTCTCAATACTGAACCAAAGTGTATGCAGACTGACCCCTACAATGGGCATTGTGAGCAGGATTGTCCAGATGTTGGCTGCCGCCATCAGGGAATTGCTGTTTTAGCTTTGCTTTGTCACTGGCTCTGTGCCCCATGACAAGCCTGAACTTTCAGCTCAGCTGCTTTGTGCTGCTTTTACTGAGTTCGGTTGAGGCTCTTTGAGAGATTTCTCTGACCTAGGTCAGTAATTTAGATAACGTTTTGGTATTTAAGAACAGGAATATGGACTCAGATCCCTTTTAATGTCTCCCTGAGTCATGCATCTCAGTCCAGACATTCTGCTGTGTCTTTTGTAATTTAAAAAACAAATCCTGTGTGTATACTCTCACTAACACGTTTACAGAAAAGTTTATGTCTTATTTCTCTATTGAACCTTCTTCACAAGGTGTTACAATCAGTATTGTCATAGACAATAATCACTTTAAATGGTTATTATGTATTGTCAAAGCATAATCACATTAAAAGGAACAACCCGTAAAGTGTATTGCATGTCTACAAAAACAGAATTTAAAAAATGGACATGAAAGTCAGAGAAATGGGGAATACAGAGAAAGATAAAACCAAATTACAGATTCAAGGAGAGGACCAAAAAAAAAAAAAAAAAAAAACTGGAACAGAAGTTCCTAATTTGCAATTTCCAGTTGAATATGCAAAATTTACCAAAAGAATCTGCACAACACAGAAGATTTAATGGTGCTGGTTGACTTTTCTTTCTCTGTAACTTGGATGATTGAACCTCAGCATCTGTTACAATGCATCAGTTGGAAAACTTTCATAGATGTAATCCTTTGCCTCTAATTAGTTAACCAGGGATCCCTCTGATTTTAAATGATGAACACTTAGTGATGTTACCGCACATAAAACGGAGGTAGAAGAAGTATCCTTTAACTATGAGAATCACTGGTTTCCCTAAATTTTCCATAGTCAGAGCACACACTGGGATGACATATCAAAGAGAAAAAAAGAGATAGGATAAGTCATAAATGCAATTAAATTCTTTCGAATTTTCAAACTAGCTTTACAAAATGGTATCCAAAGGATATTCCTGACCCCAGTGAAAAAGAGATAATATAGCTAAATATTAGTTAAAATAGGATATTCAAGAATTGAAACCCATGATACAAGACCTAGGAGTGATTATCTCACTGTTTCTGCGTTCAACCCCAATTTTGTGTGTTCTTAGTCTTTGAAAGAAGTATGACATCTCAGAGTGAAATTGATGACGGCTGTAATGGGATGATCTCTCCCAATGTTATTGACATGACTTACTCCGTCCAATCAGCAAGTGGTAAATATCTGGCTACTAAGGATTTGGCTAGTTTTTTTTTTTTTCAGGCCTATTTCGACAGCTTCCTGGCCATGCTTTCCCTTTACCTCAAAGGAATTTTATGCATCTCTACCCACCAATCTTGGGCACCTCAGCAGTCTTGCCTTTGCACACAAACCTTGTAGGGAAGATTTCAACTTCATTCAACTTCTTCCAGAACAGCAGGTATGATTTAAATGGATGACATTCTCCTCCATGGTGATCCATTTGAAACACTCATTCAAGCCATGAAAATACTCACAAAGGAGTTTACACAAAGGGAATGGGTCATTACCCCCACACAGTGCAAGCCCCTCATTTGATTAATTGCCTGAAAATTACTTGGTAAACTGAAAGCAACTCCATCTCTGATACTATGGAGAAACAGCTATTAAACCTCTCAATGCCCACAATGTGAAAACAAGCCCAGTATCTTTAACCCTGTTTGGATTCTGAAGGAAACATATTCATCATTTATAAATTTTGCTTAAGGTCACTTATGTTGTTACTTCCAAATCCACCCATCTTTAATGGGGCCACCTTCAAGAAAGGCCTACAGACTCTAAATTGCAGTACATTAAGCTCTCACAGGCACTCAGCCTCTTTCTACTTTCCCCAAATCATTTTAATGCAGTATTCATATATCATATCATTTTATCTATATCTTAAATCACTAAAAGAATGATTTTAAAAGTGTAAGTGCAGTATAGGTATCACATTTAATATTTAAATATAGTTTCATTCCCTCCTTGGGTGTTCCACCCTCCCCGCACCTCAAAGTGTTCACAAATCTCAAAGCTCCTCATATTACATTCTTCAAGAGTTTGTATAAAGTTTATTTTCCAGGTACCCCCCACCATCCTACTGAAAGTTCTAATCACTTGGTCTTCTGTTGAGCAGCCCTATCCTGAGGCTACCCCAGGCCCCAACCCAACCCACCTCATTAGCATAAATCCAGTTGATCCAAAGGGGCTCATTATGAATAACAAAAAACTGGCTGGGAGCCATGGCTGTAATCCCAGGACTTTGGGAGTTCAAGAAAGGAGGATAAGGCCAGGAGTTCCCAACTAGCCTGGCCTACATAGTGAGACACCATTTCTACAAAAAGAATAATTTTTAAAAATTAGCTGGGCATGGTGATATGTGCCTGCAGTCCTAGCTATTTGGAAGGTTGAGGCTGCAGGATTGCTTGAGCCCAGGAGTTCCAGGTTACAGTGAACCATGACTGCATCACTGCACTACAGGGTGACAGAGTGACACCCAGCAATTGCCCTTATGCTCCACTCAGTGCATGGTGTGTTACTTCCGCAGCTCCCACCCCTTCATGACCATTCTGCAGGTCCCTACCCCTGTCCCCTTTACCAACCCAGGACCCTGGAGGAGCAATCAGAGAACAAGACAGAATTGCCCTCTGGGACCTGTCACTTCCCCTATGCTGACTGCATAAGGAAAAAACTCCCTACAAGGTATAAGACTGAATTCATTCTGAGGTCACCATTTTGGTGAACAAGAAATAGGGACTGTGTTGTGTCTTCTGACCTGGATCGAGGAAGAAACATCAGCTCTGCAAGGATGGAAAAAACTGACAATCCCCAGTGAACTGCTGATAAGTGAATACAGGTAGGCTCCGCACCCTACACTAACCCTCTGCTTGCAGCAGAATATCTGAGTGAGGATTGCACCAGGAGACACAGGTGAGCTGCACTCAGTAAAGGGTGTGCAGCCTTTGGCTGGCCCTAGGCTGGGGAAAGTAGCCACATAAGAAGGAACCCTGGGGAGTTCATGCATTTTATTTTTCAACCATCAGTTTTGTGTTTTTAGAAAGATATTTCAATATACATCTAAAATTATATATATTTGATTATACTTCAATTATGTTCTTGTATTAGCATATTTATATGAACATATTATACAGAAACACATATAATTACATACCTTACAAATGTAATTAAAATTTTATGGTATTATATGAACATATACATACCCTACACATGGCTGGCAGCATGGCTATAATCCCAGCAGTCTGGGAGGTCAAAGCAGGAGGATCGCTTGAGGTCAGGAGTTCCAGACCAGACTGGACAACCATCTCTACAAAAAATAAAATATAAATATGTTTTTATATTTACTTAAAATTTTATTGGCCTAGCATGGTGGCTCACGCCTGTAATCCCAGCATTTTGGGAGGCCGAGGCAGGCAGATCACAAAGTTCAAGAGATCGAGACCATCTGGCCAACATGGTGAAACCCTGTCTCTACTAGAAATACAAAAATTAGCTGGGCTTGGTGGCGCGTGCCTGTAGTCCCAGCTACTCGGGAGCCAGAGGCAGGAGAATCGTGTGAACCTGGGAGGCGGAGGTTGGAGTGAGCTGAGATCGCACAACTGCACTCCAGCCTGGTGACAGAGGGAGACTCCATCTTAAAATATATATATGTGTGTGTGTGTGTGTGTGTGTGTGTATAATGGTATTATAGTGGCATATACATATCCTACACATATACCTATACGGTTTATTCTTTACTCTGACTCGTATATGAGAAAGTTCTTTTGTATGTTGTATAACAGTCACAGATTTGGACTTCTCATAAGGGGCCTCATGCTGGTTTGCCCTAATTACATCGAATTATGTCTGAACTGTTCTGCATAATCAGCATATCTACCATTAAACAGTCAACAGAAGTATGAGAAACACAAACCATTCTTGGAATATCCTGAGTTCAGTGCCACACCAAATCCTGTTTTAAAAAAATTTTTCCAGGTTGAGCTCAATGGCTCAAGACGGCAACCTGGGTAGCACGGAGGCCCAGGCAGGAAGATTGCTTGAGGTCAGGAGTTTGAGGATACAGTGAGCTACAATCTTGCCACTGTAGTCCAACTGAGGTTGATTGTCCTTGTTTTCATGTGACCACTACAGGGTGAAGAGGGGGATCAAGGAACCAGCCCCAGGTGACTCAGGTAATCTGAGACCAGGCCTGGGATCCACACAACGGACACACGCCCAGATGGAAGCACAATGCCTGGTCTCGGTCTTTCCTCAATCCCAGTTTAAACTAATTTGGCAGTTTTATGAGATTAAAAAAGGGTGCAGACAGGAAAGGAGATAGGATTGGTAGAGGATGGAAAATCGATTAAGATTAGGGACAACTGTGAGGAGGAAGAGAAAAGGAGACAGAATCTGAAAGCCCTGAGGTGGACTGAAAGCGGGGAGGCGGCTCAAAGAAAAGAGTAAGAGAAATGAGATTTTCTGGAACGAGGCATTGATAACGCTGAAACATGATTAGACTTTTGAAATAAATCTTTTGCTTATTTATTTTTATTTTTTTGAGACAGGGTCTCGTTCTGTCGTCCAGACTTGGGTGCAGTGGCGCCATCCTGGCTCACTGCAACCTTGGCTTCCCCGGTTCAAGCGATTTTCCCACCTCAGCCTCCGATGTAGCTGAGACCACAGGGACGGGCCAACATGCCAGGCTAATTTTTGTATTTTTTGTAGAGATGGGGTTTCACCAGGTTGGCCTGGCTGATCTCAAACTCCAGAGCTCATATGATCCGCCCACAGCCTACCAAAGTGCTGGGATTACAGGCATGAGCTGCCATGCCGGCCACGAAAGGAAGCTTTTAAATTGTGGAGTATTTCGTGCATCCACAATAGTAGAGAGAACATTATGAAGAACCTACACATAAAAAGAAACCAACTTCTATAATTTGAATTAACAGTCTTTATAACCCCACCAACTTCTGCCAATGGAGCAAATTCCCAGACATCTTAAATATTTCATCTTATAATTTCATTATTTATTCCCTAAAAGACAATATCTCAATTATCATAGTGATACTGTAACTTTTAATAAGCTGTTCAGTGTGATATAACCACATTTTTCTCCAACCAGTTATAAGTAAGATTCAATAAATTAAAACAGCACCTGGAATTCTCTTCTGTTAAGGTGGGGCAGGGAGAGCCCTCAGTCTGGCACAGGTAGGGGTGGGTGGCAGAAGAGCAAACCAAACAGCTGAGGTTCCTTGAGAATGCGAACTTCTCACAGAACACACAGCTCTCTGGAGGCCTCCGCGCCCCAAGCACTGCAGCGTTTGGCCCAGGAGGCTGCGCGAGTCCGTAGCGGAAGTGGGGGCGGCATAACAGTGATTGGCCGCGGCCGGCACCTTCTCTGGGCTTCGACTTCCAGGTGAGACCGCGGAGGTGGAGCTCGACTTTGGAGACCGGGGGCAGCGCCAGGTACCACAGTGGATGGAAGGATGCGTAGTGCGGCGTGGCAGCTGCCCTCTTCTCCCCGGACCCAGCGCCTGGAGAGCCAGCCCTGCAGGGTGGGCTGGGCGAACTAAACTGCGTTCCTGGTGCAGGGCTTCGGGTCTCCCTAACATACCTTAAATGTTGAACAGCCGCCGCCTTGGCAGTGTCTCTTTGCTCAGAGATCCTGAGACGACCACACTCGTCCAACAGCAGTCGCTCCACCAAGCCTGGGGAAAGCGAATCGTTTTCTCCGCGTGCCCTGTCAGCCACTCATGCTGCCCAGAGAGGAATTTTAGTGGCAACATTCTGGCTGTCATGGCACTGAAATTGCCAGGCCACTCCAAGTCAGAAGGACCACCAGGAAAAGTCAGGAAGAGAATCACCATCAGGTTCCAGCCTCTTTTTGTGACAAGGACTAGATGGTTTGTTTGGTCTGCAGTGGGCTGTCTTCCCGCTGGACTCGCCTCTCCTGTAGAGCAGGCTGCCTCAAGGAAGAAGCTCACAGGGGACATCTGACCTCCGAAACAGCAAGTGTGAAATGCTTTAAATAAGCCAAAACTAAACCAATAGTTATGTTAACTAAAAATACATTAATACTACCGAAGACAGTCGAATATTAGAGGAAGAAAGTAAACTCTGACTTTGAGCGCTTTATGCTTTATTCGGAAAATGAATAAGATGCAGTTCTGAAAACCTGAAAATATAAATAGGATATGATACACTAGATGAAAACAAAACTTTCAGACCATGTTTTCTTACTTAAAGCTCTAATAAGTGAGATAGCAAACTATTCACTCAGATAATTAGTAACTGATATAAGGGTATGTATCAATAACAGGTATTAAGATAAAAACTTTATGAGCTTTTTCATTTTAACAAGGGATGATGATTTCAGACTTCCGCCACAACATTATGGTCGACAAAACATTCTTAATTCATTTTACATAGATCTGACTCTAGATTCTGAAACAAAGTTATAATCTTTTATCTCTGAAGATAGAGTACAGTGAGATTTGGAAAGACACCACAAAAACTCATGATCCAAAAAAGATTAAGGCTGGTATTATTAGGAGGAAGAGAAAGAGGACAAAATCAAACTGGATAGATACAATAGAGTTGTTTGTTTGTTAGAATTGGCTTCCCAAGAGATGGAAAAAGACACCGTCACAATAGGATTCATGCTTTAGTATTCAGCTACAGAAATGTAATAACTTTGCCAAAGTAATTACAGTACATAGAGTGGCAATCGTTCTATTAAAAGTAAAACCCAGTAATACTAGGATTTTTCTGGACAATGAAGGAGATTAGGTTTGATCTTATAACTTGAATGCCAGGTCTCATATCTTTTCTTCAAGTGATATTTTTATGAAACTACTTAGGCTGTGTTTCACACAGAGTATGATTTCTAACCTCTTATAATCTGTACAGTAATAGATTATGAAGGATGAATTACTTGAAAGCTATTTTGTGTCTTATTTAATAGAAGAGGAGCTCTTCAATTCTGAATTCTGTCTGCCACTTATAAGCAGAAGAAAGTTTTTTTCTTTCATTATTTTAGCAACTATCAATAAAACAGTATTAGACATGCCTACTCTTCAGAGATGTAATGGGAATAAATTGTAAAGTACTTTTGATGTTCTAAGATGAAAGATGGTATTACACAGTCAATAATTCAATGCTTTCCACATTATGAATTTTGTCAAAATTATATAGAGAGCTATGAGTTCAGTCCAACAACAAAACAGGCTTATATAAAAACAAAAACCTCCTGGGTCATGCCATCCTACACCAAATTGCTGTTAAACAGAGGCATGATTTATTCCAGTGACCTTGCTATTTCTCCATAACTGCAATATGTCTAATGTTAGACATTTTAAATTAATATTCTATTAGGTAAACTGAGAATTTAGGTCTCTCGCACCACCCAGGCACATACTCTTTCTCCATAAACATCCAACTATGGTAATATAATTGGATGTTCATACGACTATATAATTGTTCACAGCTGAGCCACTTAGGTACTATAATTTGATACACAAATTTTTTTTTTTTTTTTTTGAGACAGAGCCTTGCTCTGTCGCCCAGGCTGGAGTGCAGTGGTGCAATCTCAGCTCACTGCAAGCTCCGCCTCCCGGGTTCACGCCATTCTCTGGCCTCAGCCTCCCGAGTAGCTGTGACTACAGGTGCCCACCACCATGCCCGGTTAATTTTTTGTATTTTTAGTAGAGACAGGGTTTCACCGTGTTAGCCAGGGTGGTCTCGATCTCCTGACCTCTAATCCACCCACCTTGGCCTCCCAAAGTTCTAGGATTACAGGCGTGAGCCACCGCACCTGGCCCACAAATTTTGTTTACTGTGATCAAAATTGCCTGATTTCTTACTTGCTGCATTTTCTGTTTTTCTCTTTCAGCCCCATATCTGCTAATCTCCAAAGTTCCTCTCAATAAAAGTAAACTTGACATGTAATTTGTTGATTTTATTCATTTTCTTTGTAGCGCTCAATCTCCGGAAGCTCTCTATCATCTTAGCATTAACTGAAATTTGAACATGATGCACAGCTATCCTGTGAGGCCTTTCATGTTTCCATAACCCTAAGAATTATCTTTTATCTTTTGTCTTATGTCCAGAGGTTTTAAGTCTATTGTTGTCTGAGTCCCTTGTTTCCCTTCTTAGTTTTCTTCCCTTCTTTTGGTGAGCGTATCACCAGGTAGTTTCCTGAGAAAGGGGACTTGGAAGATGTGCCAGTCATTTCCCTGTGTGCTGTGAGATGTGGGAATGTGTGCTAGGCCCAGCATCACATCTGGAAGAGGGTCAAGAACATTTGTGAAGGCCACACATGCCTGAGACCAGAGGTCAGAGAGCCTGACCACGACTCATATTCAATCAGAACACTGGAAAACATGGACTTCCCCAACTCCCAAAACCACACTAACAGGAGTTGAGTAAAAATAACAGTAGAATCCAGTTTGAGAAATGAAAGAGACATCATTAGGGGAGTGTGAAGCCTTGAATGCACTAAGGGTAACCATAGAAATAACAAACTTCAAACTCTGCCTAACCTCTAGCTCGATTAATACAAACATACCCTCCCTACAGGCCTAGCAGAAGGGAAATACGTTCATCTCTGCTATTGGTTGAATTGTGTTTTCCCAAAAAAGTATGTTGAAGTGCTAACTCCAGTACTTTAGATGTGACCTTATTTGGAAATTAGGTCTTTAGAAGGTAATAGGTTAAAATGAGGTCATTAGGGTGGGCCTTAATCCAGTATCACTGCTGTCCTTATAAAAAGATGACATTTTGACACAAAGATATGCATAGAGGAAGATTATATGAGGAAATACAAGGGAATGCCATTGGAGTGATGCATCTACCAGCCAAGGAATGCCAAACATTGGCAGCAACACAATAGAACCTGGAGGCATGGAAGCAATTCTGTATCACAGCCCTCAGTACAAATCAATCCTGCCAACACCCATAATTTGGACCCAGTCTCTGGAACTATGAGACAATAAATTTCCTGTTATGGGCTGGGCGCGATGGCTCACACCCGTAATCCCATCACTTTTCGAGGCTGAGGTGGGGGGATCACGAGGTCAGAAGTTCAAGACCAGCCTTGCCAAGATGACAAAACTCCGCCTCTACTAAAAATGCAAAAAAAAAAAAAAAAAATTACCCAGATGCGGCAGCAGGCTCCTGTAATCCCAGCTACTTGGGAGGCTGAGGCAGGAGATTCGCTTGAACCCAAGGGTTGGAGGTTGCAGTGAGCCAAGATGGCACCACTGCACTCCAATCTGGGTGACAAAGTAAGACTCTGTCTCAAAAAAAAAGGAAATTTCCTGTTACGTAAACCACCCAGTTTGTGATACCTTATTAGGGTATTCCCTATAAAATTAATATAATCTACAAATATAAAAATATTTACCAGCTGGGTGTGGTGGCTCATGCCCATAATAATCCCAGCACTTTGGGAGGCCGGAGGCAGGCGGAGCACCTGAGGTCAGGAATTCAAGACCAGCCTGACCCACATGGAGAATCCCCATCTCTACTGAATATACAAAAATTAGACGGGCGTGGTGACACATACCTATAATCCCAGCTATTCAGGAGGCTGTGGCAGGAAAATCACTTGAAACCAGGAAGCAGAGGTCGTAGTGAGCCAAGATGGTGCTACTGCACTGAAACCCGGGTGGCAGAGTGAGACTCTGGCTCAAAAAAATATGTATACATATATTTACCTCAGTATATATTTCCCTATACATGTCTGGTTTTTACAAAAGAAAAAAAAAAACAAAACATAAGGCATACAAAAAGACAATGTAAGAGGACAATAAACCATACTCTGACGAAACAAAACATTCAGAACCAGACTAAGCTATGACACAAAGTAAGAACTCTCAGGCAAAAAAAAGAAAAAGAAAAAGAACGATAATTTACATATTAAAGGCTTTGGCAGAAAATAAAGACAACATGCAGGATCAGATAGATAATTTTATCAGAGAGTTGGAAACTATAAAATCAAATGGAAATGCTAGCAATGAAAACCACAGAAAAGAGATGAAGATGCTTTCAATGGGCTCATCAGTACCCTCAACACACTGAGGGAAATAATCAGTGAACTTGAAGATAGATAAATTACCCAAACTGAAATATAAAGTGAAAAGAATAAAAAAGAGAGCCTAAGCACTGTGGGACAGTATCAAATGGTGTCGTTTGTGGATACTTGGCATCTCAGAAAGAAGAAATCTCATCACTAGGAAATGATGGCAAAAATAAATAAAAATTTTTTTTAAAAAGCAGAAAAAATATTTAGGAAAAAAAAAAAAAAAGGCCAAGAATTTAGTTACAGACATCAAAACTCCAGAACCAAGAAGCCCAGAGAACAATAAGCATAATGAATATCAAAAAACACCAAACAAACCCAAAACAAGAAAAATGATAGCAAATCCCCAAACATAGGTATATCAATCAAATTGAAACTGCTGAAAATTAAAATCAAAAACAGTTTTCAAGGCAGCCCAAGTAAAAAACTACATTACTGCCATGCATACATTAACTATGGGAATATGTTCTGAGAAGTACGTCGTAGGACGATTTCATCATTCTGTGAACGTCATAGAGTATGTTACACAAACCTAGATTGCAGTTGTGTAGCTTATTATGCCTGTAAGCTACACGGTACAGCCTAATGCTCCAAGCCTATAAACCTGTACAGCAAGTTACTGTACTGAATACTATAGACAATTGTAATACAATGGCAAATATTTGTGTATCTAAGCATAGAAAAAGTTCGGTAAAAATAGTTTTCTAATCTTATAGGACCACTGTCATGTATGCGGTCAGTGGCTGAACCACTGTTTTGCAGTGCATGACTACTGACAAAGGAAGGAGGATAAGAATTACAACAGACCTCTCATCAGAAAATGTGAAATCAAGGAGATGATATTACTTCTGTAAATTAAAAAACCCTGCCAACTCACAATTCTGTAACCAATTAGCATATTTATCAAAATTTCTAAGTCGAAATACTTAGAAAAAATAAAATGGAGGGAATTCATTGCCATCAAGTGGACACTACAAGAAATGTTAATAGAAGTACTTCGGACCAAAGGTATATTATACATGTCAGAAGCTTGTGTTTACACAAAGAAATAAAGTGCATAAAAATAAAATAAAGGTAATTGCTCTAAAAGATAACTATCAGTTTAAAACAATAATATATGGCGTTTTTCCAGCATATGTAAAAGTATTGTATGAATACAAGACCACAAAGGATCAGTGAGAATTGGGAATATACTATTACAAGGTTCTTATACTGAAAGGGAAACAGTATAATTCATTTAAAGGAGGCCCCAAATTATTTTAAAATGTACACTATAAACCCTGGGAGAACCACTGAAAATGTTCTTAAAAGATGTATAAAATAAGTTAATAGAAGAGATTAAAATGTAATCCTAAAACATGCTTGATTAAACCGAGAGAAGCCAGGCATGGTGGAGTGCACCTGTAGTCCAGCTATTCAGGAGACTGAGGCAGGAAGATCTCTTGAGAGTAGGAGTTTGGGGCTGCTGTGGGCTATGATTGTGGCCTACCTGAATAGGCTATTGAATGCCACTACGCCTGGGCATATAGTACGACCAGCTGTTTTTTCTTTTTTTTTTTTTTTTTTCTGAGACTGAGTCTGGCCTGTCGCCCAAGGCTGGAGTGCGGTGGCCGGTCTCGCTCACTGCAGCTTCCGCCTCCGGGTTCACGCCATTCTCCTGCCTCAGCCTCCGCGATAGCTGGGACCCCACAGGCGCCCGACCACTTCGCCCGGCTAGTGTTTTTGTATTTTTTTAGTAGAGACGGGTTTCACCGTGTTAGCCAGGATGGTCCTCGACTCCTGGACCATCGGTGATCGGCCCGGTGCTCGGCCTCCCAAAGTGCTGGGATTACAGGCTTGGAAAGCGCACCGCCGCCCGGCCCTAGTCAGACCCGTTTTATCAGCTAGCACTTTTTTTTTTTTTTTTTTTTGAGGGAACGAGTCTCACGTCTGTCGTCCCAGGCTTGGAGTGCAGTGCGGCCAGATTCGTCAGCTCCAACGCAACGCTCCGCCTCCCCCCCCCAGGTTTACACCATTTCTCACTGCCTCAGCCTCCCAAGTAC